CCTTTATGTTTACATGGATGGAGCTGGAACATATTCTTCTTAGCAAAGTATCTCAAGAATGGAAGAAAAAGTATCCAATGTACTCAGCCCTACTATGAAATCAATTTATAGCTTTCTTGTGAAAGCTATATCCCAATTACAGCCTATGAAGGGGAAAGGGGAAAGAGGAAAGGGAGGGGGGAGGTTGGGTGGAGAGAGGGTAACTGGTGGGACCACACCTGTGGTGCATTTTACAAGGGTACATGTGAAATTTACTAGGTGTAGAATATAAATGTCTAAACACAACAACTAAGAAAATGCTGTGAAGGCTATGTTAACCAGTTTGATGAAAATATTTCAAATTGTATATAAAACCTGCACATTGTACTTACTCCATGATTGCATTAATGTACACAGCTATGATATAATTAAAAAAAAAAAAACTGCAGACTCGTATCTCTTACGAAAATACATACCAAAAATTTCAACAAAATCTTAGCAAATCAGATTGAGCTATGATTCAAAAAGAACAATCCATCATGATCAGCCAGGTTTCATGCCAGAGATGCAAGGATGGTTCATCATACACAAATCTATGAATGTAATCCATCACATACAGAAGTAAAAACATGGTGGCACCCATAGCTCAGTGGGTAGGGTGCTGGCCACATACACCGAGGCGGGTGGGTTTGAACCTGGGCTAGCTAAAACAACAACAACTGCAACAGAAAAATAGCTGGGCATGGTGGCAGGTACCTGTAGTCCCAGCTACTTGAGAGGTTGAGGCTAGAGAATCGCTTAAGCCCGAAGAGTTTGAGGTTGCTGTGAGCTATAACACCATGGCATTATAGTCAGGGCGACATAATTAGACTCTGTCTCAAAAAAAAAAAAAAAAAAAGGAATGGCATTTTGAAAATCCTATGCAAATATTCTCACTAATACAAAAGGGTAATATATAACTTGTGATATAAAAGATAGATTAAATAATTTCATTATCATACTATTTTTTTTTGTTTTTTTGAGACAGAGTCTCATTATGTCACCCTCAGTAGAGTGCTGTGGCATCATAGTTCACAGCAACCTTGAACTCTTGGGCTTAAGCGGTTCTCTTGCCCCACTTAGCCTCCCAAGTAGCTGGGACTACAGGTGTCCCCCATAACGCTCGGCTACTTTGTTGTTGTTGCTGCTGTCACTGTTTAGCTGGCCCAGGCCAGGCTCGAAGCCCCCACGCTGGGTGTATGTGGCCGGTGCCCTACCCACTGAGCTACAGGTGCCGCCTCCTTATTATCAAATGTAGTTGGTATTATTTAACTCTACTATTAAGTATTAGTAGTAGTTATTTTGTTAAATAAATTTATTTAGTTAACCACTACTCAGCAGAATAAATCTTGGTTAATCTTACCCTGAGCTGGATGGTCTGTGCTGCTATTCCCAGGTAAGTGGTTATCCTTAGTTCTGCTGTTACTCGGTTCACTCTGGCCAGATGCGGGGCACTCTATCCTGCTGCTAACCACGTCACTGTGCTGCTGGGAACCAGCACAACTTACAGAGGAATCTAAATGGCCCTGTTCTATTTCCTCTGCATTCAGAGTTATGCTACTAATTCCATCAAGTATTTCATTATGATCCTTATCACTTGCATCAGAGCTGTCATTTTCTACCATAACAGGTGAAGATGGAAAAGACACTAAGTCAACTTTCGTGCAGTTTTCATCTTTCTTGCTTTCAACTTCTGTTTTAGATGCACAAATATCTGTATCACAGCCTTGTGAGCCATCGAAAGTCCAACCCTGTGCCTCCCAATACTGAAACTGTTCCAAATAATACCAATAAAGTTGACTATAATGTTGCTCCCATTCTTCTTTTGTATCAGGAAAGTTCCAAGGTTCAGCAGACAGTGTTTGATCTGGATGTTTCTCTTGCCAGCTTTGCCACAATAGTCCTCCTCCATACTCATTCCAATACTTTTCCCATTTCTCTGTTATTTCTAGCTTTGGTAACAATGTATTTTCAACAGGAAGATTTTCTGTTTCAATGTCTTTTTTACTTTGAAGTTTACACGCTCTGGTGTTCTCATATTGTTCAACTGAAGATGGATCATCTGAATCCAGAATGTCATCTTCTTCATATTTTCTCCAAGATTCTTGCATAATTTCATTTAAATACTTTGTTTGAAGCTTTTTCTTTTTCTTCTTTCTTTTAACTTTATTTCTAGTATTCATAGACACCTACATCAGATAAACAACTTGAATATAAAATGGACTTTAATAAAACTATAAAAGTATAATCCAAACCTATTTTGGCATTAAACAAAATACTACCAAAGCCACACTTTCCATGCTTTTAATTACAGAAATAAGTGGCTTAACTAGTTTCAGCTCTCAAGAGGAAAAAAATTCACACATGGGAGATATCACAACCAGAGGTTTTGGTTAATTTGTAAATATGTATGTTTAAAAAGAGCTAGATGCTCAATCACAAAGTATTTGAACTTGAATAAGAAATAAATTCTTGTGATATTCTGTAAAGAAAACTAAGAAGTGAGAATAGTAAAAGTAGTTTAATACTTACCTCAAAATTCTTATGTGCAGCAATCCCTCCAAACTGAAGTGGCAACCCCATACTTCTCATGAGTTCAGCCTCAGAATCCAGTTCACTCTCATCCAGGCCTTTGCTGTCGCATGACTCTGCAGCACCCTGGGATTGACCCCCTTCCTCCTCTTCTGCAGCACTGTCTCCTAAATGCAGCATTTGTTAGCTTAGTGTTAAAGAAAACTTAGAGGCAGGTTTTCTTATCCTCATTTTAATGCAGTGTGATCCAGAGTGGTTATTTGACTTAACCAATGTAAAGGTACACAAATGCTACAAGTTTTATAAGGGGAAAAACTGATGGTAATAAAGATGGGTAACAAAAATAGCCAATGAAGAATTAACAGCCACTTCTCAGCTGTCTCTGCCTGCCACTATCCATCCAGAGGATGGAAATAACAGGGAACAGGAGGTGCAACTCTGCTCTGTAGAGAAAATGCACATTCACACCCTTCTCTGCAAAACTACTGAACAAGATCAGTGGGTTTAACATAATTATTTGTGGAGTTATGTAGGAGCTGTTAACAAAAGAAGTGAGAGGTTATGTCTTCAGGCACCTCACAGACACTTCAGTACAACCAGGATTTAGGTCCTGGGCTTCTGTGGAAAGCTGATTTAATGAAAGGATTCTGCTATTAAAAGCTCGAAATCTACCAAACTGGCAGATTATTTCAAGCTCCTGGACTCTAGATTCTATAGAAAAATTGTTTATTACAATAAAACAAGTTTTACTGTACCCTAACATAGTTATCTAAGAGATTTTAACTAATTGAACAAATGCCATTCAAGTGCCTTATGAACTGTTTAAAATGGGAGATAACCGAAATCATTTTATAGGGCTAAATGCGGCAGCTCATGTCTGTAATCCTAGCACTTGAGAGGCCAAGGCGGGTGGACTGCCTAAGCTCACAGGTTTGAGAACAGCCTCAGCCAGAGTGAGACCCCATCTCTAAAAATTGCCAGCGTTGTGGTGGGTACCTATAGTCTAGCTACTTGGAAGGCTGAGGCAAGAGAATTGCTTGAGCCCAAGAGTTTGAGGTTGCTGTGAGCTATGATGCCAGAGCACTCTACTGAGGGTGACAAAGTGAGCCTGTCGCCATTAAAAAAAAAAAATCATTTTACATATTAGCATATTCAATTAGTCATGAGCTGCACTCTAGCCTGATGATCTCAAGCAACAGAACAGTGACTCTTAATGTAGCAAAAATGAAATCTTTTCTCTTTAAAAGAAAAATCGCTTAGGTAAATTCTACTGAATAGGCCAGGGGTCTTCAAACTTTTTAAACAGGGGGCCAGTTCACTGTCCCTCAGACCACTGGAGGGCCGGACTGCAGCCCTAGGACGAGTGGGCTGATAAGCAGGCCAGGCAGTAGCGGCAAAAACACCTGGCGGGCCAGATAAATGTCCTAGGCGGGCTGCACGTGGCCTATGGCTATAGTTTGAGGACGCCTGGAATAGGCTTTTAAAAGAGGGAGTAGATACCTCTCCATATAACCCCATATCTAAAATACTCAGCATTCCATTTAATGAAGTAACGAGAAAACTCAGCAGAGAGCAAAATGAGAAAACAAATAAGCTCAGGTCTATGCTCCTCCTCTTGAGGTGTGCGGACTTCCTCCTGTTCAGTGGGAGCCTGGTATTTATAGACCAGTTCAAAGGATCTTCCAAGGTAATATGACACACTGTACTGGGCTGCCCGGTTTCTAACTCCATGCTGTAGTTTTCTCTGTGTCTAGAAACATAAAAGGTCAGTGTGGAAGGACACTGTGTGGAAGGACACAGTGTGGAAGGACAAATGGAGTAGGGAATTATGAGACCAAACCAAGGTTCAATGCAGAGCCCAATTCTATTCCCTGCCTAGGGAAGTTCACCCAGACGACTGCCTCTTTACTTCAGGCAAAAGGGTGTATGAAAGCTCACATAGAACCTATCTTGTATCATTTACCTACGTAATAAAATCCTCACCAAAAAACTTGGTGTTCTCTCCTTTTCAAAGCTTCAAACTTCAGGGCACTGCTATGTTATGGCAATATCTCAGGAAGGAATGCTACACGGGGCAAAGGAGGCTGTATCAAGTCTCTACAGAAGCTACAAAACAGTGAAAGGTCTGCTTAGATATAGATCCTAGAGCCATGTTATAAAAAACTTATGATTATGGAATCACTGGGCATTTATCATATTTTATGCTAACAAATTAATACATCATCATAACAAATTTTACACAAATTAGTAAGGTATTATGGTTAATTTTAGTAAAAAAGGGCTAGTTTTATACTACATTACCTGTATTGTTGCCACTGCATTTGACATAGTAGCCTTTTAATCCCAAATTGCACAATTTTCGATCCCTGTGAAGCAAATTAAACAATCCATATTAAAATAAAAAAGCGATAAATTTAGAGAGGGAATTAGCTGAAGGCAGAAGAGATTAATTAAAAAGGTTACCAAACAGAAAAGCAATCTAGTAATACATTTTCTCACCTATGATATAGAGATAAATATTTCTCAAGGGGTTGTTGTAAGGATTGACATACATAGAATACTTAAAATAGTACCTAACACATAACTACTAATTATTAAAATTAAGTGGCATTTCTTCTACATTTTGGGCAAAGAATCTGATCTTCCTTATGAAACATAAATAATGAGGCATTCTGCCGGGGTGTGGCTCATGCCTGCAATCCCAGCACGGTGGGAGGCTGAAGCGGGAGGACTGCTGGAGCTCAGGAGTTCGAGGCTTGTCTCAGTGAGATCCCAACTTATGAAAAAAATGGAGAAACCTAGCCAGGCCCCGTGGCAAGTGCCTGTAATCCCAGGGGCTTTGGAAACTGAGGCAGAAAGATGCCCACAGCCTGAGGTTGCAGTGAGCTATGATGCCATTGTACTCTGCTCAGGGCATACAACAGAACTCTGACTCGACCAAAAAATAAATAAATAAATTAATTAATTAATTAATAATAATAAGGTGTTCTCTTAATGTTGCTATAAGTAACAGTGGAAAAATTTAGCTCTCACATACATAAACCCATACATAGATCCTAATCCATTTGCATGCAACTCAAACTATCCAACATCAATAGCAGATAAGATATTCACTGTTTGAGCAAAGGCTGCTTTGAGGAATAAAATGAAGTTCTTATTTAAATATCTTACCAATGTGAAAAATGAGGAAAAACAATTCAGTGTCACTGATTGCCAAAACCAGTGAATAAACTTTTTTTAAGTTCTCACTTTTAAGATTTTTCTTTATGTATTATGTACTGGAAATTGTCAAAATTAAACTAACAGAATATTTAAAAAACATGAAAGGTTTTACTATTTGTATCTTCCTACCCATAAATTCAGCTGTTACTGCCACAGTAAGGTCAATTCCAAGTTATCTAACATTATGATGAATTTAACAAAACAAAATTCCTGTGTACCTCATCTCCGTCATAGTCTCTTGTTTCTTTTGGGGGGATACTTTATAAAATAGAGTAAAACCTCTGTAAGTTGACCACCCAAGGGACTGTAAAAAACTGGTCAACATACAGAGGTGGTTGACACAAGGAACGAGGCCTACTGTACATGTGGTATATATCTGGTTTATGAAAATTAGGTCACGGCTCGGCACCTGTAGCTCAGTGGCTAGGACACCAGCCACATACACCAGAGATGGTGGGTTCAAATCCAACCAGGGCCTGCCAAACAACAATGACAACTATAACAAAAAATAGCCAGGCATTGTGGTGGGTGCTTATAGTCCCAGCTACTTGGGAGGCTGAGGCAAGAGACTTGCTTGAGCCCAAGAGTTTGAGGTTGCTGTGAGCTATGATGCTACAGCACTCTACCCAGGGTGACATAGTGAGACTGTCTCAAAAAAAAAGAAATGAATGGGATTCAGGGTGATGTTTAAATGAGATGTGGCAGCATGTCCAAGTCCCATTGGGGGTTGGGTAGGGAGCAGAAGCTGCAGAGGGCATCAGCGGTGTAACCACCAGCCCCCAAGGATGTGGGGTGGCGATGTCAGGTAGAGAAGGCCAGTATGGTTGCAAGACTGGTAATAATGAACAAATAAGTAAATGTACTGAGGACAATAATACTCAAGATTCTCCTTGTTAAAGAAGTTATTTAAATACAAGGCAGACTCTAGATAAGCCATTTAAAAACAAGGCAGGCCAGAAAGGATCTCGAGGTACTGTTGGGCCAACACTGAAAGTACTGTTATGAACTCACACAGCAGATACGAAAATGGTTTTAAATGTGTCACGTTTGTATACACACACACAAATTTACATATACATGCAGGCACATATATACCCTGCCTAACTATTAACTGAGGTTACAGGCATAATACAACACAAGCAACTTTTTTTTTTTA